ACGTATTATAAATAATATTTATTATTTATGATAGGTCAATGTTATAGAAGTCCGTGACCCGAGAATGTGTGTTTCAACAAAATTTCAACAAATCTTTGAATTCCGTTGTGGTTTTCAACCCAACGAGTGTCACACATTGATGTCAGTTTAGTCCACTTGGTATTGGGTAAAATGTATTTTATTTTAGTTTTTGATATAGGTATTTGTCCGCATAGCCGAACTTTTAGTGACATTTCCAATAGATTTTATTGAAACAATACAATTTCTGATTTATTGAACATGAATGAGCTAGCGCTAAATTTAAAAAGTGCGCACTATACAATGCACGTAAAGTGCTGCTGGATGACTTTCCCTTATAACCGTTTGAATGCCTTTAAAATGTCCACTCATGGACGCAGCTCCATCATAACTCTGAGCGACCATATATTTATTGTTAATTCCAATTTCCAAGTGCTTGTAATGCATTTATTATTACAGAGGCTAGGTTTTGACCAGTTTTACTGTAAACAGGTACAAATTGTAAAAAGTCTGCAGTCTACGTTCTTCAGCCCCTACTCGGAGATTGTATGTATTTTCCCAACATTTCGCATACATTTTGCTTCAAGTGAAATGTATTTGAATGTACCTATTTGATAATATAAGTAGAAATTGTACTTACCAACGTATACAGTTAGCTATAAAAGCGTATAAAGTTACAATAACAAAATTAATTTATTATAAAAAGTAAAATAACCAATATAAATCTATATCTAAAATGTATAAAATGTTCAACTTTCATAGCTATAAGGATTGAAAATTTAAAACATCGTTCCACGTAAATAGGTTATTTATAAAATACTTTATTCACAATAATATCATCAAATATACTTAGTAATAAGTAATAACTAATATTATAGGCTGACTCACTTGACTGATCGTTTTCAATAGGTATATTTTGACTTATTTTGAGCTGTTTACAGACATTTTCAGTTTTCAAATTTTTTTAGTTTTAGACTGAGTGGAACGATGAATGTATTGATCTTACAATGATGTATGTTTTTATATTTTTTTATTTTTTATTTTTGTGACTGTGTACACGATAAGTAGTTATTTGGATTGACTATTTTTATTGCACCTGTAGACGATCGCTAATCACTTGTTTTTAATAATTGTATAGGGATTTGTATTTTTATTTTGATAAATATTTTTCAATATTTAAATCATCTCGTTATTATTGCACTCTATTGATGCCTAAATTAACATTATAAGGTGTATATTAGGTGATATTTGTAAAAAAATAATCTTCAATTATAAACTATTTTTATGGTACTATTGGTCAGTGGCGTAGCCAGGGGGGGGGGTTGGGTGTTAAAACCCTCCCCCTCAGCCGTATTTATATCAAAAATATAATGTTTATAATATAGGAATACAATCATTTGGTCGAGGTAAAATGTATTCTGTTATGCCGTGTTCACACACTACCACGGTTTAAGATAAACTTAAAAATCTGAAAAGTTTGATATCAATATAAAAGTCCCTAGGTTAGCAAACAAACAAGAGCATAGAACAAATGTGATCACAGATTCGGCTGAGTCATATTATAGAGTCTCTTTATATATTCCTTTTTTGGATAGTTTTAATCAACAATTTAATGACAGATCTTTAAAACACAAATCAATTTTGAGTAATTTTCTTTGTTTGGTGAAAGATAAAGAAAATAGTGATGAATGTTTTAAGGTACTTTTGAAAACCTATGAAGTTGATATTGAAGCTGATGTCCATTGAGCTTTGGGGGAATTTTCATTATGGAAACAGCAAATAAAATCAAAACCCATAACAAATGTTGTATCTGCTTTAGCCGAATGTAACGCAAACATATACCCTTCAATATACACACTCTTAAATATTTTAGCTTCTTTACCAGTTACCACTGCTACTAGTGAAAGATCATTTTCAACACTTAGACGGTTGAAAACATATCTCAGGAACACAATAACTGAAAATAGACTGAACGGGTTAGCATTAATGAATATTCACCGTGATGTAAAAGTAAAAGTAACAGTTGAAGAAGTTATTGAAAATATGGCCAGAAAGAGTCGCCGCATTAGACTGTTATAGTGTTATAAAACATAATATGTTATTTAATACTATTTGTAAAAAAAGAAAAAAAATTATTTTAAATAAATATTTAAAAGTTAAACGTATATTATAATTTATTTAAACAATTTATGAGTACATTTCAGGAAGTGTGAAATCCTCCACAAGTTACATTTTATTACAAAAAAAAAACCGCCCCTAAAATAAATCCTGGCTAAGCCACTGCTATTGGTACTAGGTACCTACTTCAGAATAGTAAAATACTTTATAATGTTTCACCATGTTATATTTTCTAATTATAATAACTATTTTAGATTCTGAGTGGAACGATGAATGTATTGATTTTACAATGATGTGTGTTTTTTTTTTAATTTTTAATTTTTTTTTTTATTTGTGTCGGTGTACACGATAAGTAGTAGAAATAATGCTTCGATTTTCAATTTCAGTACATTTTTTGATTGGAAAATGAATATCGTTGGTGCATTGGGGAGGTCAAAGTAAAAATTTCCCGGTAGTTTTCAAAAGCGACGTGAAAAACAAAAGAAAAATTAAGGAAAAACTGGAATTTTTACGCAAGATTGAATTTGGTTTTTGGTGTAACTTCAAAACAAATGACCTTAGGTACATGACATTATCACTGGTTGTTTATATTTGAATTTTCTATACACAATAACATTTTCAAAATGTTTTGATTTATTTTGAACTGTTTAGGGACATTTTCAGTTTTCAATTTTATTAGTTTTTTTTTTTATGAATATCAATGATTGAGAAAAATAGATGATGCAGATGAAAAATATTAATAATCCTTAACCATAGTTTTTTTTTATAAGCATTTAAAGTTCAAAAATTGACAAAATATGGAAAAATCACGAAAATTAGCAAATTTTTTGTGATATAAAATTGAAAATTATTTTATTTTATAATTATTATTTATTAATAATAATTTACCTACTATTAATTTACTATTAATACTACTAAATAATTTTTAGATTCTGAGCGGAGCTATTAAGCTAGTAGTTTTACAATGGTGTTTATTTTTTTTTTATATATCCTGTATACAAAATTTCTACCAGAAGGAGTGCTTCGATTTCAACATATTGTACTATTGTAGTAAGCAAGTTACTACGTGACAATAAAACCAATTTCACGGGTGCATAGTTAGCATAATATACTGTAGATCGGCATAAAAGAGATATTAAAAAGGAAGTGGTTAGGTTTCCTTCTGTTTAATATAAGGAGACAAAACCACTGAATAACTCAGGACGAAGGGTTCAAAAATAGGCGTATATAATATTTTACAGAAACACTGAACACGACGATATTCAAATATAAAAGAGTAAAATAAATAATAATGATTATTTTAATAATAATCATATTTTAGTAATACATTCAATCGTAAATGCGTGGGCTGGAATAATAACCACACAAACCACATCCGTGAGAGCCAAGATACAGTATCTATAGGGAAGGGGCACGGGGAACTTCATATATAAGGGATCCCGAATAGACCTGTATTCAGACGTGTACGACCACCCATTAGAGCAAGCACTTACACGCCACTCTGTATAACATTACTTAGACTTTGAAGTACTAATAATAAATTCACATTATACAACAACTGTCTACCTTATTTAATCATCTACCACGACGACATCATCAGAAGAAGTGTCTGCTACCTGCAAAGTTAATGTTCTAGTAGCCACTTGTCTATTATCTTACTACAATAGTAGACACCCAGTTACCAGCACATTACTATGTAGCAGTGGCGTCCGCAGGATTTTTCAATGGGGGGGGGGGGGCTTGAAAATTAGTTACAAATTTATTTTTATTTTGTCCAGTCTATTAGTATGATTTTTTTTTGAGGGAAGAAACCACCCATTGGTGATACTACCTATTTTGTGTTCTTAATTCATTCTAAAATTTCTAAAATTATTTCGAATAAAAATAAAATGTTCGAAATAAAAAACCAAAGTATTCAATACCAAAAAGTATTTAATACAAAAAAAAGTATTTAAAATACCATTCAAAATACTTCATGCTGAAAGTATTTAAAAAGTTTATCAATACTTAAAAAAGTATTTGAATACTTTTATTCAAATACTTTTACTCAAATACTTTACAGGACTGCCCACTTGTAACCTACTGTACAGCAGAGCACCTTTTTTAAATTAGGTTGTCACAGAACGTGCATAATAGATTCTATTTGTTTCAATTGCATTAATATAACTCATTAATATTTAATAATATTATAATCTCAACAATAATAATTATTATTTATTATTCATCCATCTTGAATAATATCTGAAAAATAAATTTTTTTATTAAAACTCCTCGTAAGACGAGAATAGGCAATAGAGTATGCAGGAATACCGTTACCTACCTTATCACATATTTTGATAAGCACTAAACGTCCGGATAATAAACTTATCTATGCGTCCGAGAGTTACTTCACTGGCATGAAGCAAACCGTTCGTACAATACTTCAATAGAACTTTGTTCTGTACTTATTATTCATGCTGATGCCGTTTGTGTGCTTCCCGGGCTCCGAAAACCGTCGTCACGTCTTGACGGCATAGACCAAAGTTGCTCGTCAGTATACTCAGAACTCAGTGTGTCAATGACATCAGAGCGAGTACCGCCGAGTAGCCACAACTCCTCTGTTGTCAGAGGTTAATATTGATGAAACATTTTGTCATTTCAATTATTTTATTCTCCGTCGTTCGTAGTAGAGTTCTATAGTGCCAGTGATATCAAACTCTTAAATATTACAATACATACGCTGTACAAGTGAAGTGAAATGAAAAACACAAACTTGTTCATCAAATAATTGACCAGCAACAATATCGATAAATTCAAAATTTGACTATTCTTTCTGAGTAAAGTTTATTCATCGTCATAACTGTTATGAAATATTGAAATGAATTATGAAGTCTCAATATTATCGCTGTGCAATCGTATTCTTATTTCAACTGGCGGTTAACAGCATAGCCTCTCAAAACGGTAAATTTAAAATCTACTCATTTATGTATTTAATTTGTGAGATTTGTTGTTGACAAAATAAAACTTGATCGTGTTCAATTTTTGACGATTGATTAAAAATATATTTTTCACAGACGATGACCATGTTGATTTATCACTCGCCAAACAGAAACAAAAATCAATTGCAAATATGAATAATTCCACACATCCCAGGATGGTAGGTTTTTTTTTGTTGATATGTTATTAAACGGCACAAGAGTCCCGACCGTGTGGATGTTGTTTGTAATATAGATTTTATATTAATTAATTATTTATTGACATATAATCAACAAAGTATATGATTTTCTTCGAAATAATAAGATTTTAAACCGAAGGAAACAAAAAAAAAAAAAGTGTAATAGCAGTGAATATTGATTTATTAATATATTTATGCCTTGCGTTTATCTTATAAATTGAATTCGTAAGATACCATTATTGAAAATTAACACAACATAGTGTCATGTAGTTGAAAACTTGCAAATAGGCAGGGGCGTATTTATGGGGGAGGCTGGGTGGGCTGCAGCCCCCCCTGAAATTTCAAGAAAATCCAAAAAATATGAATGTCAATAAAACTTTATTTGTTGGGTAAAAAAGCTTGAAAATTTAATACAAGGCTCCTGCTATATTGTTACAATAGCAGTTGAAAAATATTAAAAATCCTTAGTCATAGTTTTTTTATAAGCATTTAAAGTTCGAATCTTGACAAAATACGGAAAAATCACATAACTTAAAATTTTGCTGAATGTTTTCATTTTTTATACACCAAAAAAATTTGCAAATATTTTGCCTCTTTTTGAGCTATTTACTGACATTGACAGTTTTTTTTTTTCTATGAATATCAATAAAAATTTTTTTGTTTGGTAAAAAGCGTGAAAATTTATCATATTCTCCTGATATATTGTAACAATATTAGTTGAAAAATATTAAAAATACATAGGCACAATTTTTTCTTATAATCATTTAAAGTTCGAATTTTGACAAAATTTATCAAATTTAAAATATAATAAATATTTTGTAATTAAAAATTTATAAAATGTTCAACTTTCATAGTTAAGGATTAAAAATTTAAAACAATGGTCCACGTAAATAGGTAAATATATAAATTACTTTATTCACAATAATATATCATCAAATATACTTAGTAATATCATAGGCTGACTGACCGTTTTCGCTTAGAATCGTTTTTCTTATACAATGATATTATATCATTGAATTCAAATTTTACACCATCCATTACAGTGACCCACTTGTTACCTACTGTACAGCAGAGCGACATCCACTTACCCACTTTTTGTTTATTGTGTGACTATGTTGATAATTTTGTTCAGCCCCTCCCGAAATAAAATTCTGGATACGCGCCTGCAAATAGGTATTCTATATTAGTTTTTTTCTGCTTAAAGATACGCCACGAAGGTGATTTGGAACGTATGGGATCTGAACACAAGACTTATTGTTCAAGTATGCCATATCCAAGTATCAGTTGTCATATGAATACGACGTGTGTGTATGGAAATCAAACAATCGCCATATGCAAAGCTAATGTGGATTGTCTGGTATTTAATGGTTTAAAATTTGTATTTTCATTTAATTTAGATGTGTATTTTTTTTTTCAGGGAGAAAATACATTTGCTAAAAACTTGACTTGTCGGTTTTGTTATCAGACAGAGTTCTGGGAATATAAGTGTGAGAAAAAAATCTGTAATTCTGCTGCTTCTCCGCCAACCTATTACCGGTTATAATTGAACAAATAAATATTTTTATGATTAATACCTATTAAAAGTTAATCATTTTTTTTAGACACGAAAAACACAAGATCGTTTAAAAAATATGAATCAATGCTTTTGTAAAATAAATATTTCTTTTGCTTTTCTCAAAATGGGAATGGCTACTAACTTTATGAATACATTTTGTGATTAAAATCAAAACCAATGTAGTTGTTTATCGTTAGATTTTTTAAATAACCTTTAAAAATGTAATAATTTTCTGAACATTCTTAACTTACATTTTATAGTGTATTTTTAATAACAAAATTGTTTATTATAGGACTAATTGTACAGTGAACAGAGATGTTTTGTGTTTGGGAAGAAGAACATTTTTGAAAAGATTGCGCTGCAATTGGACAGGTGGTCATCGGTGGTCGACTGCATTAATTTTAAGTATTACCCTAGGAGGATTCGGTATAGATAGGTATGCTATGCATATATTCATTAAGACCACGTTACACTGGTATTTGTCGTCTCCATCATAACAGTGCGTAACATAGCAAATTTACGCTCAGCAGAACACTTGTAGCTTCGTTAGTTTAAACATTAGAGTGAATTGACCTATTATTAAACTCGATGGTAAGAACATTATCTGTGTTTGTACGTTGGTTTTTTATGATAGTTCAATTTGTTGGCAAGTTATGCGTATATAATATACAGTACATTAAAAATGCTCATAACTCGCTTAAAAACTGAATTATCGTAAAAATCCAACATACAACGAAATTAATATTCTCACCATCAAGTTTCATTATAAGTCAATTCACTCTAATTTTTACAATAACGAAGCTACACGTGTTCTGTTGAACGTAAATTTGCTGTGTTACTCACTTTAAGACGGAGACAACAAATACCAGTGTTACGTACTATAATTTATGTGATTAAAACTGAAATGTTAGTTTAAAATATATTATATTTTTTGTATCAGATTTTACTTGGGACATTGGCAAGAAGGCATAGGCAAACTATTCAGTTTCGGAGGCCTTGGTGTTTGGACACTTATTGATGTACTATTAATATCTATCAGATACCTCGGTCCAGCAGACGGTTCTCTATACTTGTAAGAAAATGTTAAAATATTGGTTGTTTTAAATTTGCATTAAAGTATAACATTTATAATCAAAAATATTCCATTCTGTCATTATGTAGCTATAATTGTTTATTTTATACAGGATTTGAATTATTTACTTAATACCCATTTAACATATAAGTTATTACTTTGAACCGAGAAAATATTATATCCGGTTTAAATTCCATAAAACCGAAAAAAAAAATAAATACTAAAATAAAACATATTAAATAAATAACAGAGTATTTATTTTTTATTTCTAAACATTTTGATTTTAAAAAAACTTATAAATTCAAAATACAAATTGCAAAATATTTGAACATTTGTTTCCAAACTAATAATTAAAAATAAATCATAAATTATGAAGTACGTATACACTTTAAAACAATATAAGTCGTAATTCTAAAACAAAGTATAAAAGTATGAGCAAATTTAACCAATTCAGGTATTAACTTTATTAGGGTTTATATTAAATATTTGTTTGAGGTCATCTAAAGTTATCTTAGTGCCTTCGACATTTCTGGAACCACCAAAAATATTATTAGCAATTTCAAGCTTCTGTGTTTGAATTTTTTGAATTGATGATTCAATTGTGTTATCACAAATGAACTTGTATACATTGACTGGTTTTTGTTGCCCTACTCTATAAATGCGATCACATGCTTGTGCTTCGAGTTGTGGATTCCAGTGGATATCCACTAGGAACAAGTGGTTTGCAACTACCAGATTGAGACCAACACCGCCAGCGGTTAATGACAATAACAAAATCTGAAAGAAAAGAAATTACAATATAATATTATATTAAATTACATTAAAGAGCGGCTATTCATATACTGGGACACTGAGTGATTCATTGAGTGTAGGACACTTATTATTCAAATAGTATTTGGGCCGTATTCATGGGCGATGCTTTAGAATAAGTAGGTATTGCTGAAGCTATACTTATGACTCAAATAAGATTCATAAATGAGACTTTAGATTAAGAAAAGAAAAAGTACTACTTGTTTTTAAGGTTGATCGAGACCTACCTTAAGAACTGATTTAAGTTACTATCACACATTTTTTATTTTTAAAATTATCAAAATAATTAGCTTAAGCAACACTTACTCTTAGGAGGACGCTACATAGACATTTGTTGTCTCAGTCTTACAAGTCCATAGCATAAACAATTTTATGCTCAGCCGATCACGTTTAGCTCCGTTAGTTTAAACTTTAAAATTTAGAGCGAATTATTGACTTCTTATAAAATTTAAAGGTAAGATTATTATCCCGGGCATCTCATTGGCGTTTTAATAAATTTTAATTTTAAAGCGAGTGATTGTATTTTAAAATTGTAAACTGTGGTGTATTAGTCTTACAATGTACAACAGCAAAAATTGTTTTGCGCAGAACAACTTTACACACTTAATCTGTCACTAACCAAAAATGATTAATAATTAAATGAAAAAACAAAAAAACCTAAAGTTCTCAACCTGATAATTTTGATACTTTCCTGTTATACGAGACTACTCGGTTTTTTGACAACATGACAATCCTGTTATCTAAGACCACCAAAATGATACTTTCCTGTTAAAAGAGACTACCACCCAAGTCTACCTCCGTTGATTATAAATATAATTCATGGGATTCTCGGGATCTAATACAAATATTACAGTAGACCCAACACCCAGGATGAGTATTAAACGGGAATTTAAGTAGTAACAATCCAGGAGTAAGTTTACAGTTAGGCAAAACTAATTATTTATGATTGAAGTTTTGTGTACAATTTAAAAAGAATAATTAATTAGGGATTCTATGTTCAATTATTATGATATACATATTTTATATTAATTTTAACATATAAAATTATATTTTTATTTACTTTTGGTCCGCCTTTGACTCTGTCAAATTCACTTATTATTTTGTTTCTAAGTAGAACAGGAACAGCTCCACTGAATATCTCAGTTTTAACGTTATACTGAGATAATTGTTTGTTTACTAGGTTTAACACGCTTGGCCATTGAGACACAATTACAGCCTTATCATCAGTATGCAATACTTTTTCTTCCACCATATCACAGACAGCTTTAATCTATGAAAAAAAAATTATAGTAAAAGTAAAATATACAAACTGATCTGAAATTTGTGTTAAGTAATTTGAAAAAACTACTAGGATTCACAAGAATTTTTTTTTGATTATTTTTAAAACAAATTAATACATTCAGAAGTCAGTAATTTTAGTTCAAGAAACATAAAATAATGTGGGTAAAAATAACAATATTTTAAAACTTAATTAATTGTTTTCATACCTTTGAACTAATCCATTTTTCATTAAATATTGCATTACTATTTTTAACATTATCGTTTTCAACATTCGGAATGCCAATAGACATTCGACTCAATTTGTCTACTATATCTAAATCTCCATTGTTTTGTATGCCATCAGTCTTAAGACATTCGTCTTCCAGCATCTATAACAACATTATTAATATATTTTATTTCACCAATAAATTATCTATCAATAATAATAATAATACCCATACATTTTTCAATAAGCAAGGATGACAACAAAGCTGTCTTAGTCGCAATATTAAAACTAAGATATGATGAGTTTGAATGCTTTTGTTATTCACTAATTGCTTGAATAATTTGTCCAGTTCAGGATGGTCTTTAAAAATATCGTCCTTATTTTCTATCAAAAATAAAAGAATAGTTTCAATTTATTATTATTTAAAGATAAAATTATTTTCAGTGTTACTCACGACTTAAATATTTAGCTTTGTGTTTTACTGGAAAACCACGTTCTATAGCATTTTCTTTGTCAGCTTTTTCATACAGATATGTTGCAAACAGTGAGCTAAGACATTAGAAAAAAATTAAGTTTATATACAATTTACTTGAAAGACTACAAACCTCGAGAATTGCAAAACTTTTTCATATGCTTCTTTTTCTTCTTTAAATAATTCTACTTTGATGGTATGAAATGTTTTTTCCGGTAAAACAAATTTTGTTGTTTTTTGTAACTGATCTTTTGTTCGTCTTAACATTAGTGCCTTGGTTAATAAAGAAAGTCGGTTTCTACCAGCTTCATCATTATTACCTACCCAACGTTTCCAAACCTATAACCAAAATGAATCACATACAAAAAAGTTCAGAGTAACAGTGCATTTAGTACAGTATTGTTATGAATTAATTTTTATTAAGGCGGCTCTAAACGATTGGATTTTTCATGCATTTAGACCAATAAGCTGGCGAAAAATACACACTAGTAGTCCAATTTCAATTTTGAATGCTTATTTGGATTCGTTAGCCTCTTTTCTATGATCGGTAGGAAAAACTTTTTCATCTTTTTGTCTAGTTAGCACTTAAAAGTGCAAGTCAAATTTGAGAAATCAAGCAGTCATTTGGAACCGTAATATACGTAAATTATATAAAATATCCAAAATTGGTTTCCTACAAATCATAGAAAAGAGGCTGACGAATTCAAATAATTTTTCAAAATTGAAATTGGACTACTAGAAGTATGTGTATTTTTCGCCAGCTTATTAGCATTTTTCACTGTTGTGAGTGTACAAAAATATTTTTCGAGAGTGATTACTTTGACTTGTGCATGTGCGCACGTGTGCTATTGAACCGTGTGCCCGCAGCCGGGCGATATAAAATCTATTGTTATCGAGTTCGAATTTCTTTGAATTTCACACTAATAATCATTTACGACTAACACATAGATTAGGGGCGGCGACGACAAGATTAGAAATTGCCTAAATTGTTCCCCTTAAATAATAGCCACTAAGAGCCGCCTTAAAACATTAAATTATTGGAGAAAATGTTTGTCGATTTAAATTTGGAGGTTTTAAGGCATGCATTTTATTTGCAAAGCATCTAGTATCATTTATTTGCCCTAATACAAATTAGAACCAGATTAATATTTCATAAATAACAGACAAAATACAATTATTGGAGCACATAAAATAACTGTTCATAATTTTAAACTTTGTAATAACAACTAGCAATAAAAATATTGATAGAAAAATTTAAAAAAGGTGGGCAGTGGGTAACTGTTCTACTGCTGTAGATTAGGTATTGAAAATTCAAAATATACCATACCATGTATATAGAATATGATTATATAAAAATTTGGTGAAAATGTCAAATTTCTAATATTTGTTATTTAGCTTCAACAACAAACAAAATCGATTTTGTCAAAAACTGATTTTATGTAAAAATTCCAGTTTTTAAATTTGTTTGTATTTAATGAAGTGCGATAATTTAATACAAATAAATTAACTTAGCTTGGCAACTACCAATATGTACGACTACAACTGAACATATTATAATATTTACATCCCCATTTTATATTTTAACAATATTACCATAACACTATTTAAGTACATACTATAAGTAACCACCAAGCTAAGTAATTTATTTGTATTAAATTATCGTACTTCATCAAATACAATCAGTTATAAACAATTTCTATACCAACAAATTTAAGAAATTACTTAGCCCCTTTTTGATATCTCCACTTTTCTAACTTGAGTTTTTATTTTCTAAGTGAGGTTTTTTTAGACATAGTGATTTTGTTGTGATATCACTTATTTTTTTTTATTACAATTTCAGATTTAATTAACCTAATTGTTTTTTTTTAAATTGGTTAAAAAGACTAGGGTAATACTTACATATTAATAACAGGTATATGTCATATAAACAACTTTGTTAAATAAGACACATAGTGGACTAGGTATATTAATACGGCGATAAAATAAATAAACAAAATATAGTGACACACAGATATCAAAAGCAGAACTTTAATACCGTGGCAACGAATATAAAATAAATGCATAGATGTACTGTACGCAACGAGTCGGCCGGCGTTATCCTAACAAGTAAGCATTGTTTAAGAGAATGCCACACCCACATGTGTTGTCTCTATCTTGCAAACATGTATGATACCAAATTTAAGCTCAGCAGTTCATGTTTTATGCAGTTAACTTAAAAATTAGAGTGAATCGACCTATTATGAAACTTGATGGTAAGAACATTATCTGTGTTTAGATGGAAGTTTTTTTTACGATAATTCAGTTTTTAAGTGAGTTACGTGCGTATAATAAATGTAAATTAAAAATGCTCATAAGTCACTTAAAAACTGAATATCGTAAAAAAAACTTCCATCAAAACACAGATAATGTTCTTACCATCAAGTTTCATAATAGGTCGATTCACTCTAATTTTTAAGGTAACTGCCTAAAACGTGAACTGCTGAACCTAAATTTGGTATGTTATGCGTTTCTAAGACGGAGACAACACATGCAGGTGTGGTGTCCTCTTAATTAGCAATTGCAACCAACACGCGGTGGAAATATTCATAGACATAGGACGAAATCATAGTCCAGTTAGAAGGGGAAATATAGCAGAGCGTAAATACAGCATAAACATTGTTGAATTGTTAAAAAAAATAGCATTTCGATTAATAACTATGCTAATACTTTTGCATATTACACAAGCTGTATCCCTCCGATTAACATTCAATTTATAAAAGTATCATCTACATCATACTGATCAACCGGTGTAAATTTCACGTCAATCAGTTCATTAGTTTAGGCTACAAAGAGGTTGGACTATTTTTCATAAAATTACACAGATTAAATAAGAGTTGGACGTCTCGTGTAATATACTTCCGTTGTGTCACAAGCTCTTTTTTATACTTAGCTCTGTATTACATAATGCAATAAATAACTGATAGATTTAAGTTTCATTGTTACATGTACATGTAATAAATTTGTAATAATAATATTTATAGGTCAAAAGACTAAATTTGAGGTCAGCATCTACCAGAAATCAGATTAAACGTTCTATTTTAACCTAGTTCTCAATGTTTATAAAGTATGATAATACAATAAATAAATAAGGAATAATAATATATTTGTACCTAAATCATACATATTTACTATTTTTTCTAAAGAATTAAAAAATAATAACTCATACTTACAACCCATTCATCGAAAGGACGACACTTAATGAATTTTAACAATGCAAAAAAATCAGCTTCCTTATTATGGATTGGAGTGCCAGTTAACGCCCATCGATTGATACCAGAAAGCGAACTTACTGCTACAGACGTTTGACTTTTATGATTCCTGATTGTATGGGCTTCATCGAGAATTATTCTGCACCATTTAATATTATATAGGGGGCTCTATTTAAAAATGAAAAGTGTTATGAATATAGTTGATACAAAAACTTTGAAGTTTTTAGATTGAATAGATACGAACTGTATTCTTATGATTTTTTTGATCCCACATGACTGTATGATATGTGGTTAAGACTATATGTTTTTTGGCCAATCGTCTAGCAGAAGACTCTCTATTTGGCCCATAATATTTAACTACATCTAAAACTCTTGGCTTTACTTTTGATTTGACTTCATTATCCCACTGGCTGATTAATGATGATGGGCAAATGATAAGAGTTCCACCTTTAAAAGCTGAAAAATCAAGAATTATAAAATTAAATAATTTAATTAATACTTAGTCTAGAGTAAATTATAAATGTATACAATTTAGATTTGAGTCTTCAAAAGAATCATCCGTTTCCGAATCTTCTTCTTCGTCTTCTTGAGCTTCATAAGCTTTAAGAACTAGAGAAATCATTGATAAAGTCTTTCCTAAGCCCATATCATCAGCTGAAAATTTGAACATAAAATATTATTGACATTTGAGCAATTTATTTGTGTACATAATATAATATGTTATTTATGTACCTAAAATGCCGCCGTGTGGTTTTTGACTCTCTCTCCACATCAGCCATGCTATAGCATGTTTTTGGTGGGGCATAAGCTCCACTTTAAGTTTTTCTGGGTCTTCGGCTAAAATATCGGAAGACGGGCAGGTTCCTAATGATTTGTGCAAACTATTAAGTACATCTAAAGTCATAGTTTGCTGTGTGCGATAAGTACTCAAAGCTATAAAAACAAACAATAAGACGATTTAAGGTTTTATTTTATAGTTAAAATATAGTTGTTTTTCAATAAGTAATATATATTTAAAAATACCTTTGTCACCCATGGCATTAATGTCAATATTACCGGCTGCCTTTTTAGTCAATGCATTATTAATATCTAATGTTTGTAAATGATAAGAGTGAGGTTTTTGAGATATTTTTAATTCTTCTGTAAACATTCAAATAAGAAATACAAATTATGCATTATAATTAATTAATTAAATTTAGTTTGTTGAGAAAACATATAGACATAGTTAAACCTGGGCCATCTTCCATTTTTTTTAGTACATTATTTAATTGTGTTCTTGTATCTGCAAATGCACTTTCTTCTTTTATAATAGCTCTTTTTAATTTATAACCTCCATCAGGCAATAAATTTAAATTTGTTATTTTCATAGTGTTCTAAAAGTTATATTAAAATCAATTTAATCTGATAAACATATTTATATAAATATTATATAATTTTTATACTAACTTTCATGTTGGCGATATTTTTTGTATATCGGCTTAGAATTTCTTCTAATCTTAGTTTTTCCATTTGCAGAGATTGAAAAACCTCACTACTCATTTTTTTTGTATCACCAATTGAAATATCTTTTGAAAATATGGGAGATTTTTCGTTTTCTTTTTCTTCAGTTAAATCAATTGTTACATTTTGTTGTTTCGGAAACCATACCTTAGAGGTTTTTGGGCTATCGCCAACCAAATTAATTGTTTCAACAACTTTCTCATTTTTCTTAATCTTAGATGACTCTTCTAAGATTATTTTTTCAGAATTTGGATATTCTAAAATACTACTCTGAGATATTGGATCATTTAACGAATAGATAGTGTTTGACAATTTCAAGTCATCAACAAATGGTCTGTTTTGATTAGAAGATGTAACAGTTGATTTATGATGTGCAGAAACATCAGAATCAGAATCACTAGGTTCAATTATAGATAAATCATTTAATTTTGTTTCAATTTGAGATTCTTCATGAGCAACTTTTTTAGGTATTTTGAATTTTTGATATTGTGGTGAATTTATAATATCCGAATCTGACTCCAAATTTGGATTAGTTTCCTAAAAACATTGTGAATAATTTATAATAATAGCTTTTACAAAAATATTTACACTAATAAAAATCTTACAACAAAAATATCACTGTTTGCCATTGTTTGACTTTCATCGCTAGAACTTAAAATTAAAGCTTGTTTGGTTTTAAACTTTCCAAGAGGCTTAAAAGATTCATTAGCTATAATTTTTCTTGATTCGGTAGGTTTATCCATATATTCTTCAAGTAAACATTCTTCACCACTTTCATCCGATTCTTTTAAAGATGGACTTTTTTTAGAAAAAGAGTTGTCACCCGATTCCTAATTAATAAATACTTAGTATCAATATTCAAAAATAAGAATAAATTAAAGAAAAAATACTTACATCACAACTATTAAATTTTGATTGTTCGTCATCACTTGAAAGTAATGCATTTCTATACTTGGCCAAATCTCTTTTTGTAGGTTTGAAAATCGATTCATTTCCAGAGTTTTCAGGAGAAGTTGTTTTATCGTGATATTTATACAGTTGCTTTTTATCAACTTTACTACTTCTAAAACAAAAATACAAAATAAAATTACTTATAATGAAATTAAGATTGTACATAAACATAAAGGTATTTAAAATGTATACAACATAGGTACCTACTGCAGGTACTAAAAAAATCATAATTAAAATATCAATATTAACAAAACAAAATGATAATTTTATAAAACAAGAACCATATAAAAAAATGCTTGTCTATTAAAACATAATTTTGTCTGTATTTTTGCACATACTAGGTATCTATGTGTTTTTTGTATAATATATCACCAACAATTTCAAAGAACAAGGAAATTAATGAGTTATATTCTAAATGAAGCTATTCTAATAAAGTACACAGTACATACATAACATTATAAAAATACTGAGGACCTGCATTTTGATTATTGATAAAAATGATACATTTTGAAAGTAGTAATCGTATTATGAATTTAAGATTGATGATGAGGTGTAAGACTGGTTGCTTTAATGGCAGCAAGCTTACATACTACCAGGCAGATACCTTATATAAAATAAAAAGAAAAGCAAATACATACATGGTATAATAAAAATAAATGCAAGTTTCTATTTAGGTATCTATGAATTGAAATATCTAACATAAATTAGTTCATACATCAGTGTAAAAATGGTTCCTATATGCTACAGCTTTTACCTACTTTAGTATTTTCTACAGCCATATTATAAGTTATAAGATTACTAAATGTCTACAAAATCAAAAAATATGATGACAGAATCAAAATAAAAGATATAAAGAATAGGTAACTACATAGAAAAATAAACGTATTGTACAATCGTACATAGTTAATAAAAAAAAAGGCAAGGCGGCGGGCACATTCAAATGGTTCTATGTCTACTACAGTACTACAATATTATTAATCATCTAATATGAGCAAGATAATGTAAAATCTGAAAATATCTCCGATTTTAGAGAGAGAATTATTCTGTATTTTATTGAGTGTATCAATACAATATTTTATTAGTGCAAAATCAAGTTTTTAAGACGTATAAGTAGGTACCAGCATCCAATGAGTAAAATATAGTGCCAAAATAACAAATAATATTAAGTATATTATAAATAACAGAAATGCGAGCAGAAATGTTAGCATTTTATTTATATTATTTATTCATAATCATTCATCTAGTCTGAAAGTACCAACTCCAAATTAAAAGTTTTAAATGCAATAGGTACTTATAATAAATAATTTTCTGTTTTTCCTATTGATGTATATACCTAATTAGTGATAACTTTGTCATAACCTGTACAGGTAAAAATTCTAGTGTTCACATATTTTTAAGAAGTGTTTTATGTGGCAAAAATGGCAGGGATCGCTTAAAAACATCATCTTGATTCCCAAATTTGGGTTTACAGTTTACATAAATGCATATTAAGTAAAATGTATTTCATAGAATAATTCATCCACGATCCAAGAGAAATTACTGAATTTAGATTAATGGGGATCTTTCTCGCTTAGGTATAGCTTTTTATCTCAAATGAGCCAGTTCTTAGTATTTTTTTTAACAGTACAAATTACCTAGGCACCTACCTATATTTAAAAAAATTAAATCTATTAATAACACAAAATAGGTAGGTAACTAATTTAAGTACAAATTGGAATCACCTAATTATTAAACAAACATTTTTTAAATTTTATTTATTTGTACAGCTGTGTCAATAACTTGAATTTCAAGGGGAATAAAAATAAATTCGACTTTTTCAAGTTATACCCCTCAAATACAACTTAAAAACATTTCAAGGGACAAGAAAAAAATTTGAGTTATTAAGACTTAACTGAATTTAAAAAGTACACAAAAACAATAAAACGATCACAACAACCTACAAAAAAATGCATTTTAAGACCTTTTCAATTTTAAAGAGGTCAGACCCACGCGACCAGCAAGGATTAATTATTTGTTATTTAATGCATGGGTATAGGTGTGCATACTAAAAATGTTATATAAATGTCAAACATTAATTCGTTGTTTTTCCCAATAGTAGCAGGTATATTAATTTTCCTATAAATCATAGAAAATAATATAATATACTAATGGGTAGGTACCTACCTATTATTGATTACTATTTATTTATTGCACCTGCCTATGTTTAATGTTTCAAGTTTGATTAGTTACTGAATGAAAAAATAACTCACTCATATGATTCCCCCGAATCAGTATCGGACACTCTGAATAATGATCTGTCAGGTTTAATACGAAGAGAATCATTTGTAACATCCGAACTGTTTGGAGTAGGTATTGTTTGTCTGCGGCGAGAGAACGCTTTCTCCGCCCGAGCACTATCCATCTGTGCATTTGAAAATCCTCCGTCGTCACTATCGTCCGACGATTCAGACATTAACCTTCTAGCAGATCTGCTGGTGATTCTAGAAGATGTGGAACGTGAAGACTTCATGTTTGAGACATCCACCACAAGTTACAAAGCGTTGTGTTCACGTTATTTTAAAGGTTTCAACACACGCTGAATATTATTTGAATAATAGTTTAAGTCGACTTGTAGAACATAGAGAACAGGTCAGTCCAAATCTGATACATGTACTTCAAATCCTAACGCCGAGTGAACTGTACAACTGAGCGTAACCATTGACTTCCATAATGCGCCATAAGCCTCGTAGGAACAGGAACACAGGTCACGACTCTGAACTCACGAAGGAACTATGATGTAGGAAGTAAAATGACCGCGGTCGTATGGACAATCACAATACATTTATACCACGGAACTGCGAACTGCGAAGCATTGTGTTTGAGTTTGACTGTCCGCCGTCCGGAGTTTCCGTGTAGCCGTTGCCGTTTGGTTTTAAATTTGACCAATCAACGTCCCGAACAAACAAATAATTTAATAAATCGACGACTGCTACCTGGTGAACAACAACTGCAGACCACGAGCACAGAATTTCGTGATGATAATAATATGATGATAAGCTAGCAGCTGCTGCCTGTCGGATTTGGGTTTTGTTCTGTGGTTATGGTCCGTATTATCACAGAACAATATTATCTTAAACCGTGGTTGGCACAGCTCTGATAGTACTTTGTTATCACACAGTGACGGACGACAGAGTCTTGTTTATATTTATTTTGTCGTGTTATTATCTTTGAGACCGTGTTTGGACGTCTGGGACTAAGTTTAATACTTTGTGGACATCATAATATATATTTTGTCATGGTTAAATACTTAAATCGTAAGATTTTGCTAAATTAACATATCCTAATGTACGTGATCGCTACGTTTTATTTATCATTATAATATATATCTTTTTTTTCCTTTATGTCAAACGGGAATAAATTATTTAGTTTCTATAATAAAAATAACATTTCTTAAATATTTGGTCGATTTAAATAAAAAGTAATTGTATATTATTGGAGTGTATAGTACATTTAATAGTTAAATAACCAGTTAAAGAACCATTTAGATTCTGCTGATAACAACAAATGTAAGCATCATACTAAAATGCAGCCTCAAGAAATTCAACCCAAATATGCAAAATTAAATATAGGTGGTTCGTTATTTTACACTACAATTGGTACCTTGACCAAGCATGATACAATGCTGAAAGCTATGTTTAGTGGTCGGATGAAAGTACTTACTGATACTGAAGGTACTTCATGACACATTTTAAAACATACCTTAATCATGTATTAATAAAGTTATGTTGCATTAAAAACATTTTCAGGTTGGGTCTTAATTGATCGTTGTGGCAAGCACTTTAATTCTGTGTTGAACTTTTTGCGTGATGAACATGTAGCTCTTCCAGATAAGACACATGAAATAGCTGAGCTATTAGCTGAAGCCAAATTCTATTTAATATCACCACTTGTTGAATCTTGTCAACAAGCTTTACGGTCAAGACAATGTAAAATCGAACCTCAATGTCGTATACCTCTTACGTCTTGTAGTGCAGACTTAAGTCAACTTATTACAATGAGTACAAAAGTAAGCGAATACCATATTTAAAAAAAAAAAAAATTTTATTGGATTTCAGCGCACTAATTGTTTCCTCTCTCTGGTCCACGCTCAACATAGACAAAACGCATTTACGCAGAATCATTTTAGAGTAAAATCACCCATAACAAAAAAGATAGAGAATAATATTTTTGAGGGGATGTCATATCGATTTGTCTAAATATTGTCAAAACAATTTAAACATCATTATAATGTACATTTTTTTGTTAAAATAACAATCCCATTAATATAATAAATGCGAAAGTCTGTGACTTTGTTACTCTTTCACGTTAAAACTACTGAATGGATTTTAACAAAACTTTATAATAATATAGCTTATACATCAGAATAACACATAGGCTACAAATCATCACCCTAGGTCTAACCAGTGGATGTGCTCAAACGGGGATTTAGAGATTTACTTTGGAAATTTTTGTTTATAAATGGTTGCCATGGGTTTTAAAACTATTATAAAGTATTACTGGTCACCTTGAAATAAGTGTATTCATTCAATGCATTTAATTTTTTTGTATGCTGTGTTATGTATCACCATTACGTAAATATTGAGCGTATTATACTCATATATAAGTTACGTACATGGTACATATAACAATCACGATGCCACGTATTCGTGGACAAGAAGGAAATATTTGTCGACAGACTCGGCATTCACAATTAGTCCAACCGTTTAGGAGTTCTGTAACATACTTGGTATAACTTTGATACTTTAGAGTTAAATTATAAAGTTACGTACAAACATCACAAATTCCGCTATCTACTGCAGGTAGATTGCCTACTTGATAATATAGGTATTGCTGCGAATCAGAATTTTTATTCCGGTCAACGGAAAAGTTAAGATAAATTTTTAACACCATACACTGAATATTAAGTAACGAACTGAACAAAGTTTGAGTCATATTGAGTTATTTAAAGGGTAACGAAGTGCACGGGATCAGCTAGTAAAATATAAAATTGATATTTCATTCCCTCAAAAATATTATTTTCATTTTTTTTTTTTGTAATAAGTGATTTTACTCTAAGATAACTTTAAGACATAGAAAAAATGATTCTATCTGCGCATGGGCCAGAGAGAGAAAACAAATAGTGGCCCCTCTTATTTTATTTGTCTTTTATTTTAGCCAACCGTTAAACTTCTTATAAATAGACATAACAACAAGTATTCATATACAAGGTAAACAAGATATATAACTATTTATCCCATGTGATACATATTTAATATTTTTTTATTTTTCAGTGCTTCTGATGATAACTTACTAAAAAATGTTGAATTATTTGATAAACTTTCCTTGAGGTTTGGTTCAAGATTTTTGTTTATCAAAGATGTTAGTGGTTCAAGTGAAATATGTTGCTGGAGTTATTTTGGATTGGCAACTAAAGTTGCTGAAGTTTGTTGCACATCTATTGTTTATGCTACAGATAAAAAACATACTAAGGTATTGAGGTTTTTTTATTGCTATATTTGGTTTTCAAATATATATATTTTTAAATTAATAATATTAATCCTTGAAAACTTTCTGAAATATATTCCCTCGGCAGGTTTACTGGAAAGATAAAATATTAACAAACTAATGTTTACTTATTTAGGTTGATTTCCCAGAAGCAAGAATCTATGAAGAATGTCTTAATCTTATGCTATATGAAAATCGCACAGAACCAGACCCAGAACTCATGCAAGCTACATCTTGGCGTGGTGCTGTATCGGGTATGTCATCAGCTTATGGAAGTGACGATGAAGAAGAAAGAACTCGTATAGGGCTTAGAAAAAGATTAGTATAGTAAGCCTCAATCAGCTTTTTGAAAAAAGCTTGTAAGTAACAAGTTATGGTAACTAATATACTTAAGTTATATTCTGTTATTGCTTTTGTGGGAGGTTAGGTCATAGAGGATTTTTGGACCAGAAAATTAAGGTTATTCAGATAATTGACCGAACAAAGACTAAGGTTAGGTTAGTCATGAAGTTAACAATTTATTTTCGACAAATTTAATTTTATAATATGTTCATATATAGTTACCAATTCTATCATTTATAATAATGAGTTTTTAGCAGCAAATGTATTAAAATATTATTAGTTGAAATATTTTTATCATCGGTCATATTGAGTAAATCGCAGACCAGTTAATTATTATCTTTGTGTATTAATAATTCTTATGAATGATACATTACAAATTTAAATTAATTAAAATTTAATTATTAAAATAATGATTTGTTGTACATTTTCTAACATTTTGGTTTTACTTGGTATTGAAATACTTATGTTGTTTTCTAAAATGTTTATTAATAAATAAAAACATGTCTGTTGTAAAAAATTTTATATTATGGAAACATTTAAGTAGCATAATACTTAGTAATAGCTATAAAATAAATAATTTTATGTAATAACTAAAATGCTATAACATTTTTTATTTGATTAACAACAATAAAATATTTATAATCCATATATCTGTACAATATGTAAATAATGATAAGAAAAAATAACTTCAATAACACTTGTAGAAAAACTCTAGTTTCAGTAGTTGTAGTCATCTGTGTGACTGTACATGGTAACTAGTGTTGAGATCAAGTCGATAATACCCAAAGATCGTTGTTTATAGCTTAATACTTTTCAATAACGATTTGTCATAAATTATCACAAACATTTGAAGTAGAAAAAAAAAATGTCTTGTTAAACAATGAGATCGACCAATTAAACAAAAAGTATTTGTTTAGTTCACTTTAAATTTCAAAAAATAAACTTAAATATTTTATGTGTTGATTAATGAAAATTAATCAAATTTCTTATTAAAATTTGACCAGTAAGTTAAAATCAATTAAGTATATCTTTTTAATTCATGTGCATTACACATTTAACACCTTTTTTTTTATGCATGATAAAAGAACATTACATTTTTTAATAGAGTTTGAGCAATTTTTGTGTGACAACTATTAATATTATACTTATGTAGTGGAGTGTTCAAGATTTATTGCGGTAATCCCCAACAGCATACTCAGTGAAGATCAAAATGTTAACCTAATGAATATTTACATCACATTTTGTATTGAATATACTTAACACTTAATTTCTCAAAAAGAATTATGTGCATATGATACGTAATTTACCATACAGGCGGAACAAATTTTTTTACATACACACAAATTGTATTAAACATTCTCGTTTAATCGTTTGTTAAAGAATTATATGATTTAATATTAACAGTATAGAAATTATACACATTAAATAAAAATAATACTTATTTAGTACTTGTACAATTTGAAATTAAAATAATAAATAGTAAGGAATAATATATAGAAAAACTTAACAGATTATTAATCAGATCATAACTAGACAGTTAACTTAATAGTTATTTCTTCTATTTCCCGAAAATCCTCCATCTCCTCCTCCTCTCGAAAATCCTCTCCCGCCTCCTCTTCCACCCCTAAATGGCCTGTCACCTCCCTCAGCTCTGTCTCGTTCTTTCTTAGCTTCATACCTCGATGCCATTTCTTGCAACTCTGGAGGTACATCTTGTCCAGATTTTTCCATCACTTCTACTAATTCTTTGGCCTTACCCCAATCTCTCCTGGTCATTAAACTAATTGCCAGGCCAGTTTTACCAGCTCGCCCTGTACGTCCTACCCTGTGCACATACTCTTCAATATCCTTAGTAAAATCGTAATTTATTACCACTGTAATATCATTGATATCAATACCACGAGAAGCCACGTCTGTTGCTATTAAAATATTAACTTCACCATTACGTAAGCTTTCCAGAGCCTGTTCACGATCACTTTGTTCACGGCCACCATGAATTGATTCAACAATGTAGCCCTTCATGCATAAATCTGATGAAAGCTGATCCACAGTTACTTTTCGGTTCACAAATATTATGATCTTATCATCTGCACTACAGTTTTTCAGAAAATCGTCAAGCCAAACTTCTTTTTCTTCTTCGTCCATTATAAGAATATCTTGTTTTACAGTATTGACTGTTGTCAAATCCAATGATCCGACCATAACTTGAATAGGGTTAGTCGTATAGCTTTTAGCAAGACGTTTAACTCCAGGTGGCCAGGTTGCACTGGTCATTATAGTTTGTCTGTCTGGCCTAACCCTCAGTAATGAAACACGTATTTGAGGTTCAAAACCCAAATCTAACATACGATCAGCTTCGTCAAGTATCAAAAACGTCACATCAGATAAGTCAATAGCACCGCTACCAACAAAATCATTAAGTCGACCAGGAGTAGCGATAACGATTTCGACTCCTTTCCGCAGAACTTCTTTTTGCTTCCCAGAACTTGCCCCACCATAAATACTCATGGCTTTAATGCCTTTGTAACTATATTTTTTAACCTAAACAAGACAAAACAATATTATTAATACTGTGATGAAACTTATATTATAGACATGTAAAATATATACATACTTCGCTTTCAATTTGTAACACCAATTCCCTGGTTGGAGCCAATACTAATATAGACGGTCCTTTTCGTTCACTACGGGGAGTCGGTTGAAAATCGATGTGAATAAAAGCAGGAAGCAAGAAGGCCAATGTCTTGCCCGTCCCAGTTTGTGCGATAGCTATCAAGTCATGGCCGCTCATGATGACGGGCCACGTCTGACACTGAACGGGGGACGGGATTTCAAATTTTTGCTTTTGTATTTCTTCCAATATCTCCGGATAGTCTTCGAATGCGTGTGAAAATTTCATCACCGGCTTAGGAATTGGCTTTACGTTATTCTCTTCGATATACTTGATCATAATGTTGTTCTTGGACATTCTGAAGTCTTCGACCTCCTGATCGGTCATCCTGGTCACTTCGGGGTGTTCTTTGTAGAAATTCTTGACGATCGGCGGCAAGGCCGCCAATCTCTGTCTGAGGTTCTCCGCTTCTTCTTTCATCAACTCGTCCCAGTCGAAAGCCGCCGGAGCCGGTGCATGTTCCGATTCTTGTTGCAACTTTTGTTTGATTCTTTCCGGGTTGTTCGCCTCGACGATGTCGTTGACGAGCTTCAGGGCGTGTTCTCTGGCCCTCTGATTTCCCGATATCTTCACGGTCTTCGAGCCGTACGAATCGCTGTCCAACACCGAGATGAACGCGCCGGTGTCCTTTCGCAGGCCTTTGATCACCGAGCCGCCCTTTCCGATGATCAGGCCCGCGAACTGGGCGTCGATGTCCACGAGCAAGTCGTCGGGATTGGCGGGCCTCGTTTGCCTGTACTGTTGCTGAGGCACGTACGCCTGTTGCGGTATGTCGTTGGGCGAGTCCCAGTCTTCCTCTTGATCCATTTTGAAAACGGTTTACGGGAAAAAGCACGTGGCGAGAATAAATAATAATATCACGTGAGTGCAGCAGAACTACTCAAATGCCAGCCGTTCAAACGTAACGATTACGGACTGCCGGCGAACCACGACCGACGAACAACAACAAACCACTAACCAGCCTGCGCGTCTATTGTTTAGTACGACGCTATGATAGTGCGAATGCCGCCATATTAACCGTAAAACAATATGTTTGCCGGCGGAATATTCTGTGATAACGTGTCGGCACGCAGTGCTATCAACACCGCAGCATTCGCGACTTTCAGAAATTTCGTTATGGCGCCAATTCGAATTCAGATTTCAGCCGAGTATAATAATATACGTACTATACTGTATGCACACTACTGCAGTCAGTGGCGTCCGCAGGGGGGGGGGGGGGCTAAAGGGCTGAAGCCCCCCCCCATTGCCCGTATTATTGTTACTTTTTCAAAAAAATATTAATCAAGTTAAGCTGTCAACTATAGTAAGCAAGAAGTAAATTTCATATGTGTCTTACCAGAATGAATACATTTTTGAAAGAACATTGTATTTGCATACCAATTTTCATAAATTATCTGTAATTTTTAGGTAAAAGTATGAACTACTTGTATGAAAGACCTTGTATTAAATTGTCTAGCTTTAGCTATATTTTATATTTTATAAGTTTTGAACAAAAAATTAACTGTCATTTTGACGAAATTTGAACTTTAAATGCTTATAAAAAATAACCATGGTGCCTATATAGTGTTTTAAGTATGAAATATTTCACAAAAACGTGACACATTGAAATTTTTTTACACAAATAAAAACACTATTTATTTATTTTTTTAACACAATGTTCAGTGTTCTAAATTCTAATGATAGAATTCAGTATTTATACAATATACATGTATAATATTGTATACCTACTTGTATCATTTAGACATTAAAATATTTAAAAATTTTGAATACCATTTTAAATGTATAATACCAAAGGTTAGGTATACATACAGGTACCATATAGTTATGAAGGTAATTTATGACAATTATATGTAAATATAAAACTTATTTAAAAATAAAACAAAATATATCAAAATACTGAAATACCTATTTCATTTTTTTAAATTTCATGAAATTTTCAAACACTATATGCCTATGTAGATATCGTTAATATTTTAGCTATAATAAAATAACTTACGTATTACATTTTTAAGGTTTTTGACCGGATAAATAATTTTTTATTGACATTTATATAGAAAAAAAAATTAATTATTCAAATACAATCCAAGTGAAGACGGTATAACCAAACATTTAAATAAATTTTCATTTTTCTTTTCTCCAATTATTTTTAAAAGCACTGAGAATTTTCAATTTCGACCTCCTAAAAGTACCAACTTGATCCAATTTGCTTCCAAAAACATACACTGGGCATCGAAGCTTATGATCAGAGCATTTTTTCTACCATTAAGGTTACAAACATTTTAAAATAATTCAAATAAACGTCTTAAATTATTAGACTGGACAATATAAAAATGTAACTAATTTTCAAGCCCCCCCCCCCATTGAAAAATCCTGCGGACGCCACTGAGTCTGCAGTCAGTATTTTTGGTAATCGCCGCAAAGCTGGACAAGTTAGTAATTTTTTTCAGCTAGTTGAAGTTCAGTTACTTTAATTAAAAAACCAACCAAGTTAGAATATAAGTTAATTTCTGAAACTGTCCAAATTTCTAACTTAGTTAGAAGTTAGTTTGGTGAAAATTGTAACTTAAGTTAGAGTAGAAGTTGGTTTATTTTTATAGATTAAAAACCATTTTTGTTTAAATGTAAATAATAAGTTATCTAACTTAAATTATTGATTAAAACTGAAAAATTTAATTAAACACCTAGTCATTTGATCAAAATGATCTAATTACTAATTAGGTTAGGTTAGGTTAGGTTATGGCATATTATACCATATTATACATCATTCAAAAAATTAATTTAATATAATATAATACTACAAATAATTTTCAAAAAATTAACATCGTAATTAAAACAAAATATAATTTTTTCAATGATATAATATAGTAGGTATAATATAATATGTACGTATTTTCATAGGCGAAACCACGGGTCGGGCCAGTCAGGTCATGGTCTGACCTAATACTGACTAAAAATTTGTATATATTATATATTTTAATAATTATTTAGGCATTATAAATAATATACCTAACGTAAACGTACATTATTGTTACCATTTCTTAAATTTAATGTAACATTAATTTTATATTAAATTGTACACACTCACAATGAACATAATAATAACATTTATTTTTAACATTGATTATGGAAATATTAAGTCGTAAGTCGTAATTGATATGACATTGTCTATGCTTGTTCCGTATTCTGTAGTAATAATATCATCTAATATCCACTATAACTTGGTAATTGAATTGCTTTAATATTTGAACTTGTTGTTTTTGTGGTCTATTCTATGTAGGTACTCAAATAATCAGTTTTATCAGTCATTGTTTAATTTAGACATTTGACGTTTATTTTTATATTACCTATAACAAGTAATAGTTAATTTTAAGTAACAAGTCGTTAGTCGATAATGTTTGTTTCGTACTTACGTGGTGATATACCCTTTGAAAATTAACTATTGACGATTATAGTACGTAGGTACCTACTTTAATGTTTTCATATTATTTCATTTATTATAAATTCATATTTTAGATTCTGAGTGGAACGATAAATATACTGATTTTACAATGATGTGTGTTTTTTTTTAGATTCTGAGTGGAAAGATGAATGTATTGATTTTACAATGATGTTTCTTTTTTTTATTTTTAAATTTTTTTTTGTGTCTGTGTACACGATAAGTAATCGAAATAATGATTCGATTTTCAACTTCAGTATCTTGTTCCATTGGAAAGTGAATATGGTTGGTGCATTTATTACGATTTATAAAGATGACAAAGCTAATAGCTATTTGAACTTCACAAGTATAAATTTTATTTTATTAATTTTGACTGTTAAATATATACAAATTAAAAGGAATAAGGTACTTTTAAAATTTATGGATTTATTCTTATCAATTATTATTTTTAAATTTGGTAATGATTTTTTTACATAATGCATATTTTGAGTGCATAATTTAAAAATGTTATTGCATATAAATTCATATTTTCGAACTTTTTAGCGCATATTTTGACAATTTTTAGTGCATGAAGTTACGAGCCCTGCTTATTAGGTACCTACCTACTACTATCCATTATGAATAGATAAAAATATCAATAAACATCAAAAAATTGGTAGGTTACGAAGTTCCTAAAAAAAATTATTTAGAGTTTCGGTCCCAATAGATTTTTAAAAGATTTTATTTAAAAACCGGCCTTTTCGGTACGGACTACGGTTGCAGTCGGCTCTGGCGTACTAAACCGTAGGTATCGAGGTATTGAGTGTACTTACCTCGTCATTGAGTACTTATAGGTTATAAAATGTCAATAACAATGAACTCAAAAAATGTCTTTAGTTCCATCAAATTAATACATTTTTGTAAGGTTTTGATAGTCTGTTCACACTGCTGAAACGATGTGCTCAAAATTATATGGATTATTTTTTTATTTTCTTCTTCGTTTCACCAACCATCGACTCCACTCCGATCATTGCAGCGAGTATAGGCCCCATTTTCACAATGTCCGATAACGACAACAATCGTAATACCCCAAAAAAAAAAAAAAAAACAAAGATTTATTCGTATGTAAGTTGAAACATTAGGGTGATTAAATCATTTACCGGAAGCCCGAAGGACTTCCAACTTAGTCCGCGCGTCTGACAACTGCTGTAGGAAGCTGCGATGAGACGGGCGCTCCAGGAAACACCTGTTACTGAAGTTGAAATAACATTTTAATAAAAACTACAAGTTTAATATGTATGTGCAACACATAGTCGTTCACAAATTCCATACCGGAAGTAATTCGGGCTTCCACTTGCAGTCCACGCATCAAACCATATATTATTATATTATAGGTACGCATACTGCACATGCGACTATAGACTATAAGTGCATAATTAGTGCAGTGGAAGGCAGTGAAACATATACTCGATAATCATATCCTGTTAAAAATTGTACATGGCGTCCAATAAAAAGCAAACATAGAAATTTAAAACTTTAAGTCACGTTGTGCTTTAGTTATCATAATATAATATCTTTGTTCTATATTTTGTATAACATTTGGCCGTTATTTTCAGTCCTGTACATTTATAATAATATAATATAATATATTGTATACTATATTATTGCATTCCCACAAAAGTGAAAGTCCTAGGTAACAATAAGTATAATACGACCTGACGTCCATTCGAATATTACATATTATAACTTATAAGTATAATGCCTTTGACATGAAGACCTGTTGCACTGTTGAACATAGATACAAAATTATGTCGTCCAGTCAAGACCAAAAATCAATATCGAATATTTTAAATTGTAAAAACTAGTCAAATTGTTCTTTAATAATCATATATTCATATATCCACATTATATTTACATGACGTTTAGTCATTTCTTTATTGGTGATCCTATACTTATTATAAGATATTAAGATATAATATACTATACATTTATACACAAAAGTGGAAGTTCTAGTCAAAATTCGGCCGAAGTAAATACTAAGCAAACTATATACGACCTGACGTTTTTGCATACTGCATTTAGTGCATACCGTGGACCGTGGTACGTTGATACGAAGACTCGTCAGACGGAAAGTTGAACCCATACGTACAGACCGTGAGGTGAAGAGCAAACATCGACCAAATATTAGAAATTTAAAACTTTAGGGTGATTTGTTCTTAAATGATAAAAGTACATTATCTTCATTCTTATAGTATAACGTTTGGTCGTGTCTTTGTTTGGACCTCCTGCGTACATATTACCTATAGGCTATAATATATATATATATATATATATACACACACACAAGAGTAAAAGTCTTAGCAAAACTACGGTCAGGTAACAAAGTATAATA